GGCCGTTGGTGAAGGCCTCCTCGGAGTGGTGCCGGTGGGGTGTCCGCGACCTGTGGTAACTTGGTGGGTGCCCACGTACAAAATGTCTGCCGTGGCGGCGGCTCCAGCGCGCTGCCGGCAGCCGAGTTCGGCGAGGGGGGGCGAGCGGTGTGTCCAGCGCCTTGCAACCTGAGGTAAACGTTGGCGAAGTAATCGACGGCTCTTTTGGGAGGAGAGACGTTTTTGTGAAATAATCAGCCAGTTATATGTTGGTTGTTTTTCTTCCCTAAGGGACCTGTGTGGCGTGCCGGCTGTCAATAGAGCTGCGGTGGAGGCGGTGAACGATGCTGAGCTGCTAACTGTAAGTACCAGCCGCAGCCTGTGTAGTTGGAGTGCCGTTGTTGCATGTGTTCCTGCTTTGATGTTGGGCTGTTATGTTTCTGGGCGTTGTGTTTGTCAGGCCGTGGGTGAACCGATGTTAGTGATGTGCCTGCAAGTTCATCTAGGGCATAGGTGCAGGTTGCTGTTAAAAATCACCTTTCCTCATAGCGAAGGGCAGATTGGGCCCCTGTGCTGCTATTTTAAGTGCATTAGGGGGAGTTTAAGGTCTAGTGTACTTATAAGCCTGCATTTAATGCAGTTTTGGAATGAAATATTTTCATTTTGAAAAATGCAACGGGTTAGGTTCTGCCTTGAACAGTTAGGTGATGCAAAATGTCATCTAAATGTAGACTGCTTAAAAATCAGTCACTGATTTATGGCTGCAGCAGATTTGTGATATTTTTATCCGCTTTGAGAATAACTTCGAGGTCACTGTAGCTGTGTGGGTTAGAGAAGAAATGGAACTTAATATTGTGAGCAGTTGTTTGTTCTGGCCTACTATTCTTATTCCTTCCTGCTAGCCTATATGTATCTACTGTATTTTCAGACTTCTCAATTTGCTGTTGCGTACCTTTGTTTTCCCATGCTTTTGGGAAGCCTTCTTCCTGAATCTGTGCAGTAATCTGTCCTCTGAAACATGAAACTGTTATCCAGACAATAGCAGGTTATCTGAGGGTATTACATGTGTTCTGCTATAGTGTCTTCAGATGCTAAATTGTGTGTAACTGTTGTAAATAGTTGTGAGATAAACGGTTGGATTAGTCAAGCATACTGGGCCTAAGCTAACAACCATGTCCTGAGATAGATGAAAACTGGCTGAAACCAGACAGGGACAACCAGAACTGTAAGAAATGGTGGTGATGAGCCAATTTGTGACCATATAAGGAGAAGATCCTAAAGGTTCAAGAAAAGTTCACCTCTTGCAGAGACCACTAGAGACCACCTGAGACCCCTGTAGAAGCTCCTAAGAGACTCAAAATGCATGCGTAGAAGACTATGCCAATATTATAATTAGTTCTGGGAAATGTAGTGAATATGTTTGATTGTTCCAAGAAATGTGATGCATATGTATATCGAAGAACCATGTAAGGGATGGCTGATGCAACATACAGTGTGCATGCTAGGTGGAAAGATCCCCCATGCACCTGGTGCCGAATAAAGTAATGCCTGCTCTTTAATACACCCGGTGTTAAGGAGTTTCATTCCTGATTTTCGGTGACATAACTACATTTGAAATATTAATGGGTATGATGATGGGTTTGTGAAACTGTAAAAAGCACAGTAAAATTAGAGATGCAGATCTACAGGGCTAGTAACAAGCAGGTAGAATAACTTGAGGCTATTACATAGGAAGGACAGGTTCCTCTGTGTTTTTTGGCCCCTTTTGTATAGACTTGGACAGCTGAAGGGGTGGATTGGGTTGTCTTGCAGATTCAACTGAAAATTAACATTGTTTGTGGGGCTAGTCTCCATGTCGATTGATAACCAGTGAACAAAGGGTTGATAGATTGTTAAAGCAGGAGGCTTTAGGCATCATGTAGCTAGCAAAAGAACAGAGGGAAGATGGTATTGCTTCTGATGGTGACACTGTCTTAGATTAGTTTAAAAAGATTGTAAACCACAGTAAAGTGAGTATTTGTGTATGACTTAAAAACTGCAATATCCTTTACCAAGTACATGTAGCCAACAGCTTCTTATATGTGTGCTTATTTAAGGGAAAACTTATTCCTAGTAGGGAGAGAGTTAAAACATTCAGAACTCACCTCTGCAAGTTTCTGAACAATCTGATGCAACTCTGAAGTTAGCCTTGCTTTGAGCAGGACTTGGACTAAAAGAGCTGTAAAAATCCCTTCTGACCTATATTATGCTATGAATATCTTGAGATAAATGGCTGCAACTTAACTGTTACTGTGAAGGTTAACACATTTGCTCATGGTTCATAGGAAAATCCATGAAGTTTGCTCACAGATTGTTCTTGTAAGTTTACCCTGTTAGGTGGAGTGGTGGAAGGCTTGTTACCTGATTAACGTAGAATTTTCTTTAATTTCTTGAATTCTCGTTGATTTTTAGGGCAGACTGAAACATGACTGATAGAGATGAATCCCAGGCTTCTGGCTCTGATTACCCTGATGCCCAAGAGCTAATATGCAGTCGACAGAAAGAACCATGTAAGGGACATGCATGTGAAACAACTACACAAATGGAGTGTTCAGGTTCAAGGCAGAAGAACGCTGCTCCTGAGGAGTCTTTAGATGAGCTTAACAGTATATGTAAATCATCAGCTGCTTCAGCTGAGGTTTTCCTGGACAGCAGTGATTCAGAAATGTGAGTTTTTATTTCTAGTTCATGTACAGAATGTGTGTGATACATCATAAAAATATACATTCTTTTGAAAGTAAATATTGTTTCTTCTTTAGCTATCTCTCTGCTGCTAGTGGCAGTGAATACCGTCCTAAGTGCTCCATTGCACCGTCAAAGCAAAAAAAGAGATCTCGGCCTTCAAGGCAACAAGCAGAATCTGTTGCAGGAGTGACTGACAATGAAAGTTCAGATTCTTCTCCGTCTCCTCAAAGTCCAGTGAAATCATTGGAAACTTCCAAAAAGCAGAAGTCAAAACTCAATTTGAAAGCCATTTTCGCCTATCACTTCAGGGGAAAGAAGTTCAAGGCTGCTGCACACCGAAAATATAAGGGTGGCTCAGGGAAGAAGAAGAAAAAGTATGAGAGCACACAGATGCCTACGGGGAGGCCACCGCTGACAGCCTCACCACAAGAGCAAAAGAGAAGGCTTCTAGATAGAGGTCTTCAATTCCCTTTTGTTGAAAAACATTACGGGAAGAAACACATTCCGCTAAAGATGGTTCTTGGCTATGAGGTGAGTCTTCTGTTTTGTGGGATAAATGTTTTATTTTTGTATTTAGTCTAAAAATAGTGAATTTAAATTGGGTATGTTGTGCTTCTACCTGATGTGCTACAATGTAACAAATCTGTTTTTATTTTTGTTAAACAGGACTCTTGGTGTTGTCTGTTTAATGCCTTTAAGACAAACACAGATAAAATACATGTGTCAATTTAATACTACAATTCAGTTGATAATAGAAATGCTTTATTTCTTTGCTTTATAGTGATATTTTTAAGATCTCACCTGATGCATTTTTCTTTAGCAAGCAGCTGCAAAGGGATATTTCCAGTACATTGAAGTGCTTAAATATGAAGAACATCTCAAAAAGGCTTTAAAAGCCCTTGAAGCTAGTGAAGACTTAGAAAGAGAATGTCTGGCAGTACGGAAACACAAATATTTAGATGATGAAGGCCCCATTTCCCCTATCCAGGAGATGAAGTAAGTTCGTCTCTATATTCCTAGGTGGTATAAAACTTGCTTTTTTTGTTCTTAACTAAAATATAAGTGTGTTTACACGGGTAGATGCATGACACCACACCCCAGCTCTTGGTTACCCCCAACCTGTTCGCTGGAGTGGGGAGGTCATCAACACTGCTTTAGTCGCAAATCCAAAACAGCACAGTACAGGCTGCTATGAAGGCGGCTAACTCCATCCCCGCCAGACGGGTACAATCTGCTACTGTTACAGTTGAGGAATTCAGGAGGTAGTACAGTTGCTTGTAGTAGCATGCAATTTTGTGGCAGAGTTGTAGGTGTATCAAGTTCAGTTCCTATGCTGTCCTTTTAGCCTTTATTGACATTGTGTAATCTAAGTGGGAACATCTGCTTATGAAAGTATTGTTTATTTTGGGAACAAAACACTCAGCCACTTGGGATTCTGTGCTTGTAAATGTGACTTGGAACTTCTCATAGAATGAGATTTTTAATCTAAAGATAGATCATTGTTTCAAGTGGTGATTTGTACTGTCTCATTAAAATGACACTGTAGAAATGTTTAAAAAAAAAAAGGTATTTCCTGAAATTAGTTCCTCTATAGTTATCCCAAATAAAGAAGTAGAGTGTTTTATGGCAAAGACTATAGGATATTTTTTAATTTCCTTTTTACTTTATTAAGCATTGAAGTATCATCTTAGGTCTGTCTTTATGGTCAGTTAACTTGCAATAAAGGGATCAGTAAATCGGCAAGAATACTCAATGTTGTAAATATACTCAGCACCTTAAAACTAGAAAGATAGTGTAAAGATACAAAGCTGTCTTTCAGCTACTGTTCACTTTAGTAATCACTTAAACTGCTAATTTATGTGACTTGAAGTATTAGGGTGAGCCTGTAAAGTGAGTAACAATGAGTTTGCTCTCTTACGAAAGAGCAAAAGAAACAAAGTTCTGTAGAATAAATGCAAGCTAGGTCATCCAGACACTTCTTTATATAAAATGAGTACTAGAAGATTTTCTAGGTTTTGGAACCAGTCCTCCTGGTGCCACTTGTTGAAACCATAGTACTAAAATGGCTTCATGTCTTTCTGGGGAGTTGAGAGAAAACCTGTGGACGATAGTGGAATTGAATTTCATACTTGTGTTTCATGGCAGTATGGAGATGATCTTTCTCAGCTGTAATATTAGGAAGGGAGGTGTGCACTCTTGCGAGCTGAGGCCTATCCTCTTATTTTCTTGATTGTATTCTGCTCGTTTCCTAACTTGCTGACTTTCTAGCTTGTTTGCTGGTGTAATCCTAAATATCTCAATACTACTATTGATGTCTACTACTAAATCTTTGTCCTGCTGCTAAGCGCTGCTTCCATCCTGCCAGTGTTGCTAGTTAGAATGTAATTCTGCTGTCAGAAACTATCATTTGAGAACAACCTCGTGTAGAAGTAATATTATCTAGTAGTATGCTATACCTACAAGCTGTAGCACTTCCATACACATCAAGAGAAACCAGGGGTTGTGGTAGGAAAATAGTTTACACATTCTAGGCTACTATAAAAGTACAGAGCTTGATTGGAATTTTTGTATTTCAGTGATGATAATGACAGCTTGAATTCTGATAATCAGGAAGACCTTGATGCCAGAGTAGTGGTGAGTAAATATTCCTTAACTTCAGAAACTCTCTAACCTTCTTTCTCCTTTGAGGTTAAAGAATCAGTAGATAACATTTTGAGTACTTAGTTCTTGAGCTTAGATCCAGAGTTGACTGTGTGATACCTGTGAACCCTCATCTGTAATGCAGAAGGAAGTTGTTTTGAGAGTCCGCTCTCTCCTATTTGAAATACTGCTGGAATGTACAGGAATTCTGGAGTTCTGAAGAGTTCTTTTAAGTATCTCAAAATTAGACTTGTGAATACTTCTGTCTTCCATTTCCTTAGGAGAACAGCTCTTTCATTATAAGCAGCAAAATTCCCAGTAAGAAAAAATCAAAGCCAGACATGAAACGTGTGAAATCAACTGAAGTGATCGAAGTAGAGGAGGAAGACGGCTACTGCTGAGAACTCTAGGCTTCTGCAAGGTTCACCTCAGTGAACGGAAAACTAACAAATGAGGTGGCAGTGGTCACTCTTCAGATACCTTTTTTTTATGGCCTGCTTGGTTTAAAACACTGGTCTGAAGTCAACATTGAGCTATCAACCAAGCAAGCTAGTCAGATTTGGTTTAAGGTGAGTATATTGGGCTTGTGTCTGAGACAGTTACAAAACAAATATAATCCGTCTTTTTGCTAAGCTTTCAAGTGTCTTCTGCGCTGTCCTGTATCAAGTGTATAATATCCTTGATTCAGTGGCTGATAATCTTGCTGAAAGGCTAGCTTCTGCAACTTGACTTCTGTTAACCAATGGATCACGGAATTTATGTAATTAAAAATAGAATCATAGAATGGTTTGAGTTGGAAGGGACCTTCAAAGATCATCTAGTCCAACTCGCCTGCCATGGGCAGGGACACCTTCTGCTAGACCAGGTTGCTCGAAGCCCCATCCAACCTAGCCTTGAACACTTCCAGGGTCCCACCTGACCTTGACTGTTTCCAGGGATGGGGCATCCACCACCTCTCTGGGCAACCTGTGCCAGTGTTTCACCACCCTCAGGGTAAAAAATGTCTTCCTTGTATCTAGCCTATATCTACCTCCCCCTTTAGTTTAAAGCCATTCCCCCTTGTCCTGTCGCAACAGGCCCTGCTAAAAAGTCTGCCGCCATCTTTTTTAGAAGCCCCCTTGAAATACTGAAAGGCTGCAATAAGGTCTCCCCAAAGCCTTCTCTTGTCCGGGCTGAACAACCCCAACTCTCCCAGCCTTTCTTCATAGGAGAGGTGTTCCATCCCCCTGATCATTTTCGTGGCCCTCTTCCGGACACGCTCCAACAGGGCCGTGTCTTTCTTATGCTGAGGGCGCCAGAGCTGGACGCAGGACTCCAGGTGGGGTCTCACCAGAGCAGAGCAGAGGGGCAGAATCCCCTCCCTCGATCTGCTGGCCACGCTGCTTTTGATGCAGCCCAGGATACGCTTGGCCTTCTGGGCTGCAAGTGCACATTGCCAGGTCATGTTGAACTTCTCATCAATCAACACCCCCAAGTCCTTCTCCTCAGGGCTGCTCTCAATGCATTCTCTGCCCAGCCTATATTTGTGCTTGGGATTGCTCAGACCCATGTTCAGGACTTTGCAATTGGCCTTGAACTTCATGAGGTTCACATGGGCCTGCCTCTCAAGCCTGTCAAGGTCCCTCTGGACAGCATCCCTTCCCTCCAGCGTGTGGACCGCACCACACAGCTTGGTGTCGTTGGCAAACTTGCTGAGGGTGCACTCAACCCCACTGTCGGTGTTGCCGGCAAAGATGTTAAACAGCGCCCGTTCCAATAGCGACCCCTGAGGAGCGCCACTCATCACTGGTCTCCACTTGGACATCGAGCCGTTGACCGCAACTCTTTGAGTGCGACCATCCAGCCAATTCCTTATCCACCGAGTGGTCCATCCGTCAAATCCATGTCTCTCCAATTTAGAGACAAGGATGTCGTGTGGGACAGTGTCAAATGTCCAGTGTCCAAATGGCACAAGTCCATAAAGGAAAACAACTTCCAAATATTGTAACAGCAGCAGCACAGTATAGAAAAGCATATGCATTTGCATACATACATATGCTCATGTTACAAAGGGCAATTTGGACCCCTTTCTCTTTCATAGCTGACTTTTGTGTGTGTGGTACTTGAGAGATTATTTTTCTGTATCTCAAGGAAATGCAGGTTATGCTTTGAAATACTGAGAGCTGAGTAAGGGTTGAAGACAGAACTGAAGCTTATTGCAAATATTTGTGCCAACAGTAAAAATGCAAAAGTGGTTAGTCAACTTAGACAAAAGTCTCTTGCAAAATATGGTTAATGCATTTGAGCAATGATAAAATCAGTTTGTATGATTGAGGTTGTCTATTCCACGCAGAATAACTTTTCAGAAAACTAATTCTCTGCTCCTGAATCTAATACAATAACCTGAAGTTATATAAGTTATCTTAAAAATAACTGTAGCAGCACAGTGAATCTTAGATTAAAAGATTCTTTTTTTTCCCTCTTGCTCTCCTCTGTCCAGAATGGGGTCTGATACGAACATGACTAAGCAGAAGATGAAAGCTCTTTATAATGACAGTACTTAACAAGCATTGTCCCAATTGCAAATACCCTTCTCCAAAGGTGTTTCAGACAGTTGGAAACATGACTAGCGCATGTTTAGAAATGGGCTGAATGTGGCTAACTCCTAGAGGACAAGGCTGTCTTGATAGCAGTAGAAATAAAAAAGTGTTTGAAAAGTTTACCTGTGAATCAATAAGATGTAAATAACCAAAGGGTGATCTGCCTCACTCAAATACTCTAATAACCAAATCTGT